GGGGGAGGGAATAGGACCTGGCTCCACATCCCAGCCAGAGCAGACAAAGGAAATCCCTGGCATCCCAGCCCCGCTCCCTGGCTGGAGTAGAGTAAGCCCCTGTGCTCCTATCCCTGGCATGGGTGCAAAGCGTGCGGATCACAGCCCACTCAGCCCCACTCATGGCCAGGCTCCCGATTCGACCTACCATGAAACATAACGCTATTGGCTGAGGCCCAGTCTCGAGAGATCCATCAGAGCGTAATTCCTCCTGGAATGTCTCTGCCGAGGATCAATAGCATGTCAACGATGTTTAAACTACAGCTCTTCAAGAACAAATACAGTGTATGATCATAGCGCAACTGCCAAGGAAGATTTCTATTGGAACATGTGACCCTTCATTTTCAAATCCAGTGGAGCCGTTATAAGTGAGAGACTTCCTCTCACCTCCCTGCGACAACATACAAGTTGACTTTCACTATTCTGAAGCACAATTTACACATTTTGATGCAATAAAATAAAAAACCTCCACTCCACCTCAGCACTGTATAAACAGCTCAATGCATTAAAGATTTGACAGGAAGAAGATTGCACTGTTAGCACGTTTCCAGACTATGAGGAAAGCAACATTTCAGAGCTGAGAAAAAACAAACCAAAAAACCAAATCAAAACAAGCAAGAGAATTTATCCAAACCAATTCTGGCTTTGGTTCTTGTTTTGCAAAACCAGAACACAGCCTGCTCTGAAATCTTGGGATTTGTAATAAACAATCATGACATGATTTTTTTTAAGATGTGGTATCTCGCTGGTAGAATAGAGCACCATAAATAATTGTAGAGCCAGTAAGCTATTCCAACCCAGATCAGTGAGCAAGGAGGAAAAATACTGCTCCCTAGATATTTTAATTGGAAAAAAAAGTGAAAAATTGGAACCACAAAGTTGCTTTTCTCACTAGGGTTTAGAAAGTATTTTGGGTATGCGGATGGTGAAAGGAAAAAAAAAATCCACATTTGATGATGGTTTCCTGACCATTCCTGTAACCAAACAGGCTAACTGCATTAGGAGTTTCCAATACCTTTAAAGGATCAATGAAATCTAATTATCTTTCCTTTTCTATTCACTGAACAATCATGTTGTTTCTTCATACATATAAAATCAATATATTCCTAGCATATTAGTATCAAAAGAGATATGATCTCCAGACTCCAATTAATGGAGTACAGATAGTCTAAAGGCAAGCAAGCTGTCTTTGTAGCTGACCGTATGGGATTTAACAAAAGCTACCATTTTATTCTACCCAATATTACAGTGAGCAAAATGTTCTCACTGCTAGATATTGCTCTCTAAAGAATCACAGCTGCTTGTATTTGTCACCTTTAACCTCCAGAACATGAGAACAATTTGAACATTTAGGAAAAAAACTGGAGAAATAACTTAAAGGACATCTTTCGCTCTAGCCCAGACCTCTTTTTCTCTTATACACAGACACATAAACATTCATTTTTGTTATGAGCAACCCCAAAACTCAAACATTTTAATTTCCATTATAATTTGTAAAAAATGTTTAGTTCATGTCCCCATATAGGATAAAATGGTGAATGCTTCCCAATGCATGAAAGAGACTGCATGGAAGAGTACTTTATTTCCTGTATTTTTAAATCACTTTTTACAGTTTAAGAATTGCACTTTAAAAAGATTATAATCCCATGAATACTGATGTGTTCAAGCTATAAGGCAGGGATACTACTAATTTTGAAAATACTATTAGAATTTTGAAAATAGTTACTGGCACAAAAAAAATTAAAAATATCTATGACTGTCATAAAAGAGCCAAGTTGGATAGCTAGGTTTTGGGTCCAGCATTCATTGGGAACCCTGAGAGAACATCTGAAACACAGATATCTTAAAAACATGGCAGCAAGCATAACTGTCTTTAGCACATCACCATAATACACCCGAGATTGTACTGTTTAACCTGCAAAAACAAATTATACTACTCCTTAGAGCTTGCCACAATTGGAAAATTCATATGCAACAGGAGTCTAAAATCCACAGAGATAGAGATTATAAATAAACCCACGATTCTCAGCTAGTCTAAGTCAACATAGCATCATTACTTCAACGGAGCTATTGTCATTTACATCAGGTGAGAATCTGGCCATAGCTATTTTCACACTGCAGCTTAGTAACTTGTACATGAGCAGACATATTAATATTGCATGTGGTTTTCTTGCAGTACCCACGTATATTTCATGAACAAAATGGTGCAGACAAAAGCCATTATTTCCTCAGCAGTAAACAAAAAACACCTTTATTTAAATCTAAATTCCCAGTAGCAGTTTTTTTAATATCTCAGAATATCATAAAAAGCCATCTGTGGCCCAATCTCTCTGAAATATATATTTATAAGATGCACATCAGTTTGACCTTTACTTTTCTGGGATAAACGACAATAAATAGCTTTCTTGGAAAAGAAGTTCCAGACCTGATTCAGACTTTATATACACTGGTTTTACACTTATAACTTGGCCAAATTCATTGTTGTTATTGTAGGTGCAAAGAAATTAACAACCAGGCCCCAACTCCAATTAATAGACTTGTTCTACATCACAATCAGAAGTTGTCAAAAATCCAGAAACTGTTTAAAGTTTTAGACAACACATCAGTGTATGACACCATCATGTAATTTTCCTTAATAAATGTACTGCTTAGAATCAGGACTGTTCTTCATTCACATCTGACAATTTTGATCAAACACGGTGGTACACAGGCTTGAAAAATTAGCTACCATCACCTCCAGAAAAGTGTTAAGTACAGATCTGGTTTCTGAGATTCTCTTGGTAAATTATTCCTAACAGTTTCAAAATACAGTTGATCCTTCAGTCTTCCCATTCTTTAGCTATGAATCTTGATGCATTTAAGGTTTTACTTCAGGTCTGAGATTCAAATTAAAATTTACTGGCAGCTTACTCAAAAGTTCGAACACTGATAGCCTACCTCACTCAGAACTCCCACAGAAATTGTGGGCAAATCCAGCAAGCGCAATTTGGCCCAAATTTTGTTTGGAGGCACGACTATTTAGAAAATATTAAAGGTAAGAATCCATGAAGATGGAAGACACTTGAGCATACTTTAAAGGCTTCACTCTACCAGGATAATTAGAGGTGTTTTATGACTTCAATAGATACTTTGCTGGATAAGGCTCTAGATTTGTGTGTGTTTTGTTATTTATAGCAACAAGTGTTTGTGTTTGACATACATGTTAGTAAATCTTAGGTGCTGCCAAGATTTGGTGCTGTCAAGATGCTCCAGGTATAGGTCAGGCTTTCAAAAGCCAAGCTGTCGGGTTTCATGGACACGGACAACTAGACGAAGGGGGAGCTACACTGAAAAATTCAACTCCCCTATCATTGGTATCGAGATATTTAAATGATGAAACAGGAAGCACCCTCCAAAAAGTCCAGCAATAAAATAAAAAGAGTTGCTATATTAAATTGTGTGGGTCACAGTTACGCTCTAATTGTAAGATCTGCACACTTAGAATAAAAATTACATGGAACCATGCCAATTACAGCAAATTGGATAGATGGACCTAAATAAAAAATGTCTGATATAATTCACAGAGATAGAAGGGAAGAGGTCACAAACGGCTTTTGCCTTCTTGTTGCTGTCACCAGTCTGGGCTACATGCAAATATTCTGTATCCAAGTTAGACTATAAAAGTAAGAGAAACCAAACAACAGCTCCATCAGCCAGTCATACTGTAAATCAGGTTAGTGATATCAACACCCGGAGATGTCCTTTGCTTTGTTCTTTCGTTGAAATCTAGTGTCCAAAGGATCAAAGCCCCTCTCTTTGGAGCCAAACACTGCCCAAGATGGTGTTTTGGCAACATAATCTGCTGCAGTGAAGGTCTTTGAGCCCCTGCTGTTTTCATACTCCTGGACCAGCTCATGAAAACGGTCATAATCAATCCACGTGCTCCATTCCCCGTTGATCTTGAACTAGAAAGGGGAAAAAAGAATAGTCATATCTGGCAACAATAAAGAGTACCATAAAAGTCTGAATATATGCTTAGCCAAGCTGATGCATTGAATTGGGCCATCAAATGGCAGCATTCTTATTCTCTACATATGTGTGTCTCAGGGAGAAGAAGCCATCCAAAAGTCAACAATGAGAATGACAGAACATGAAAAGCCAGACAAGCAACGGGAATCCACGTTTCCAGTTCTCAACCTGAAGATTGTGTGAACAAAACACACACAATTGTGGGACAGTCACTTTTCTTATGACTAGTCAAAACTGAGTGTTATCTACTGACATATAGACTGAACGTTTTATTTCCTGGGTGCGTTACCTGCATGTCAACCATACATACACTTCATATGCTATTAACACTCAGTGCTACCTCCTCGGATGGAATAGCTCATCCTATCCTCGTCAATTACACCCAAAAGCCTCTCTCGCAGCCACCTCCGCATTCACCCAAGCATTCACTGATAGCAAAGAACATGGTTTCAGGCACAGGAAAAACTCTACTGCAGCCTTGTGTGTTACACAACAGTAGCGAGAGATCCCTGGTTGGAAGATATTGTCCCATCCCAGTGATCAACCTGCCTGACATCATCATCTTTACTGACATGCTAGGGATTAAAACGGGTTCCTCCAGAACTAAAAGCCAGAGCTAAAAGCAAGAGCCTCCAGTGCCAGCTAAACCCCAAGCCCCTGTAGTTGGGGGCTGTCACAACTCATAATCCTCAATGAATAAGCAGGGACGAGGACTTGTCACACATGCAGTAACAGCAGCTAGAGGACATTCACTTCCACACAGTGAAACGGAACAGGGTCAATAACAGAGGTGCTTTTGCAGGAAACAGGGTTGAATCATCTTTCAGGAATAAGAGGTCAGTGTCTGGGGAACAGCGAAAGGAAGAGCTTAATTACATGAATTCTCCTCTTATGCAATGGGAATTTTAAGAATTGCTTCTTTTGACACATCTCCACTGTATTTGTCTAATAACCCAGCTCTGCTAATTTAGCAACAGCCTTGACGAATCCTCAATTAGGCTTTATCGGAGCTAAGTAAGTGCCTATTACACACTCCATCCAAGAAAGGAAGACTGAGAATGTTCTGGCTCTGGGCGGTTTAAAAACTGAATGTTGCGCATTTAAGTGGCATCTGACTTGGTGCCCAAGAGCTAAAAGCTTTTCAGTTGAAAAAAAAAGCCAGTATCAGCAACATCTGAAATAAAACTTGGCTACTGTTAATACATATTGCTGTTCATCTAATTAGTAATGGGGAGAGCTTGTATGAAGATTCCTCAGCACAGTTCTCTCAGCCAAGAATGGGGAAATGCAGAGTCACAATTGCAGACGAGGATTTCATTGTCAAACCTTTTTTATGCAGTGATCGCTTTAAAGATGTGAGGATGCAAAGGCCATGTTCAAACTAGGTGATGTAGCTCTTGCTATGCATGCAGCTGATAAATAAAGCAACCTTGCAATGTAAGGAGACAACATTTTTGCCTTCAAGACAGTGTGGCCTAGTGGGCAGGGTACTGCACCCGGAGAGAGGCGACCTGGGCTTTACACCCATTGCTGTTCCTGACACTGGCAAACCACTTCACTTCACCTTTGTCGCTCCCTTGCATCCTTCGTCCCTTGTCTACTCAGATTAAAGCTCTCCAGCACAGGAACTCTCCTCCTACATCAGAGGTGAGCAAGAGGCTGCCAGCGGGCGGAATCTGACCCACCAAGCCACTGGATCCGACCCGCGGCTGCCTCTCTGGGACCCTTAGGCACAGCGCAGCGGTAGCCAATTTGAATGTGGCTCCTTGATTCTGGGAGCAAGGAGGGAGGCTTTGTGCTCTGTCCCACCCCACAGCAAAATCTCTCAACTCCCATTGGCCAGTTTCCGACCAATAGCAGCTGAGATATTTTGCCGGTGCAGGGGCTCCTCTCCCACCCCCACCCCCTCACCTTGCCCGGAGCAGAGCCACATGAAGCAGTTTGCCACTGCAGCATTCAGGTTCCTGCAAGGCTGCTGAGTGGCAGCTGCCTAGGTAAGTGTCTCCCAGCCAAAGCCTGCCTCTGGCACCCCTGCTCTCTTCCTTCCTCTCCCAACGACCTGCCCCAGGCACCACCCAAACCCTCTGTACCCCTTTCCCCCAGGTCACAACTTCCCAGACCCTGCTCCCACTCCTAGAGCCCCTCCCCCAGGCCAGAATCCTCTCTGGCACCCATACCCCTCCCTGACCCTGAACCCAAAGCCTCTGCCCCACATCACAACCCCTCCTTCACCCAAACTCCCTCGCAGACTCCACACCCCCTCCTGTGCCCCAGGCTCCTACCTCAAGCTCCCTTCTGCACCCAACCACCGTCCCCATACTCCCTTGGTAGAAATGTGGCCCTTGAGCACTTGTCAAAATCTTGGAGAGGCCCCCCCCCCCCTTAAAAATTATTGCCCACCCCGTCCTGTGTCCTATGCGCCTAACAGAATGGGGCTCTTCTATGAGTTGAGGCCTCCAGATGCGATGCCACTCAGTTGGAGAATTGGAATCGGGTCGCCTGTATTTTGTTGGTTGTTCACTTTGACTCTTGTGCCTTTGGGCAAGTCACTTAACTTCTCTGTGCCTTACTCCCCAATCTGTGAACTCACTATCCTGCTCCCTCAGTCCTCATGGGAATGAGGCGCGTTAAAAAGAGCTTTGAATCCCTAGAATGACAGACATTTAAGAAAGTTCAGAAAACGTATCGGGACGCCAACAAACCTTGGCATGCAATGCACACACCGTAATTACAGAGGGGGAACCAACAAATGGGTTGCTGTTGTACCGTTAACCGTGTGATCCAGAGCAAGTGAATCAGTTAACACACAATGGATGAATTCATGCCTACAAGAGCAATGCCAGAAAGCACAGAATGGATCAAAGCCATTTAAGATAAAGGGCAACCCAATGGTCAATAATCAAGATCAAATACAAGAGTAGAAACCTGAACAAATTTGCCAAATGGACAGTTCCACAAGCCGAGGAGACACTCTTCCTTTGGGAAGGGGAAGAAAAGCCTCCCAATACATTGGAAATGACATTCAGGAGCTGATGAACTTTGTACCCACTCCCACAATAAGAAAATCTGTTAGAATCATGAGTCATCAAATCAAGGTAAAACAAAAATATAGATTGACTAGGGGGCTGTGCCCCCTTCTCACTACACTCTCCAACCCCCCTCTTGCGAGGGGTAGGCAGCCCCGGCTCACACCCCAGCTACTAGGGAAGGCCGTGCTAAAGGGAGCCAACCCCACCCTCTCTCCCCCAGCCTCTCGGGCAGTGTTTCTTAAATTTTTTAAGACCAAGGAACACCAAACAATTTTTTTAAATGAGGAACACCAAGGATTTTTTGTTGAGAAAAAAAAAGGTCAGGGGGAGGGGGAGAAGGGTCGGGGGAAAGTTATTGAGCAAAAAAAAAAAAGTCACCTGCCCCTTTAAAGGCAGCCATTTTAAATTCTGTTATTCTCTGCAGCACACCTCCGACTGCCTCGTGTTACACCAGAGTGCTGCAGAACACAGTTTAACAAACACTGATCTAGGGAGC